CTCTTCCATGACCGTTATCATGTGAGGCACAATCTAAAGCATGTGAAATAAACACCGCAGTAGACCAGGTGAAACGTATGTCTAACCTCATTAAGAAGCAATAACATGTGACCAAAATAATTGCGAAAGGCTTCAGGTCAGCATTGGGTTCAACCCACAGCTGAACACAAGGGCCACACGTTTTGGCTTTCGCTGGTTAACCATATGTGCAGAGTACTTGGGCGGTGATTTTTTCTTGCTCCTGTCGCTTGCTGAAGCTCATACAGATTCGTACTATAACCTTGAGGAAAATCGGGCGGTGCGGTTGCTAAACTATTGTGGAAATTATGGAAAGTACACAGTTAGGATCGAGTTGCGTTACTTAGCGAACTGCCTATACACGTGTTCTCCGTTTCAATTTGGTTCTGCGCACGGCATATTCACCCGGCCTACAGTGTTCACATGCGTGCGTATATACATATGTCAGGGAGCGGCGCAAAGAACGGTATCTTGTTGAATGTAACGGGAGCATGCTAGCTTTCCTGGCTCAGGCAACGTTGCATATTTACTGTTAGTATTTCATAGCTTTGGCAAAATGTCGTTCACGTACTGATCTCTATTATTATATAATCCGAAATTTACCAAGAGAACTGCATATATTTCACTTTATTGTCTGTATAATTACGTCTTCCCTTGACGCACTCAACGTGGCTTCAAAACGACGGTGCTACGTGAACGCCTCAATGATCCGCTGAACCACCCGGCGTTAGAAAAAAAAACTCTTCTGCTCTGCACTGAATGGTCTTTACAGCGGAGTGAGAGATCCGTATTAAACGAACCAATGCTTTCACGATCTTTCTGCGCATGAGCACACGTGCCTACCTTGTGTATAAAACAAAATGTGTTGATTATTTACTGTTTTATACAGTATGTTTATTTCCATAAATTGATTATGTATATTAAGAGTTCAAAACGCTTGTTCATTTTCACAATTTCAATAATTTCTTCATTATTTGCTAGCGCCAAATCTCGAAAAGAATTACTAGCAGTGTATAATACCAGAGTTCGGTAGAATTTTTCATGGATTTGGGTCAATAGCGAGAGCATGCATAGTTCCTGCAATCAGCTTTATATTTGGAAGAATGAAGCAAGTCTTTATTGAGAATAAGTTCACGTCACTTTGTTTTATTCTTGGTGAACGAGCGCCGCGATTGCCAAGAACGAAATCCACCCTAAACAGATCCGAAGCTTCTACTTTCCATCAATCCCATTGTGGTTGGAATGTCTGGTGCCTAGCCTGTTGGTACATAGCTTGAAATCTAAGAACCCAGCGTTCATAAAACACATACACAAGAAGGTAAGTAAGACACCCACACACGCTGGGACTTGTGGTTATTAAGCGTGTTTCTTTATTTTATTTTTTTTTTTTTGAGGCTAGGTTCCTCAACTTGAAGACATGGTGATCGAAGCGCCGTTCAATCAACTTCGCGTGCCGCACGTAGAAATTTCAAAAAATAATTTGAGCGCAAACACACACACACACACACACACACACACACACAACACACTTGTTTGATAATTGCATGCAAAAAATTAATTTGAGCGCAAACGCACGACACACACACACACACACACACACACACACACACACACACACACACACACAGGCATGAAACACGCACAGAGCTGTGTTGTGTGTGCGCGAATGTGTCGTGCGTTTGCGCTCAAATTAATTTTTTTGCATGCAATTATCAAACAAGTAGCCCAACAACAAGTAGTTCTACTCACGTTCACACTCACGCCAAATTCCACTCTAAGTTTTGTGGTATGAAATTTTACTCTGCAACTGTGGCCTTCTCCTTAGCAGTGCGATTGCCGATCACCGAGGACACTGTGATGTGAAAACACTTGCTGACTTTTGTCATTTTGGTAAAAGCGGGCACGACCGGTGTGGCCAGGGCCTTCAGTACTGTACGGCGTTGTGCGACTTTACCGCGCGGGGTTAGGTGTAGCGATATACATAAAAAAAAAACAACGACGAATTGTGGCGAAAAAAAAAAAAAACGACGAATTGTGGCGCGCCGGCGTCGCGCCGCCTACATGGCGCGGCGGCGGCGGCACGAGGAAGCCAGGCGGCGGCGCACAGAAGGGCGCAGGTGACGCGGGTTGTGTTTCGGGAACATATTCGACAGAAAATGCCATTTTCATCAAATGACATTAGTCTTTCCAAGTGACAGCAAACAAATGATATTACAAATGAATGTCATTTGTTGCAAGTGACTTTAAATTTGCCGTGTGACAGGGGTTTTCACTGCGAGCCTCGATGGAGGGTTGCACGTGACGTAATCTTTTAGGGGCGCTAGCGGCGCTCGCCTCTACCGCCATGTCAGTGGTTCGGGCGCGCCCTTTTTGAAGCGGTGAGCGGCGGCGAGAGGTTGTGTGCGTGGCGCTACGTCTGTACGGCACCAACGTCGTGAAATGCGACTGAGTGCTTATGTGCGTGACTTTCAAGGCCCGGCGAAACTTTGCTATGAACATAAGGTTCACCTTTGCGGCGGCATAGACCCTTTCCACTTCAGCAGCGATGAAGCTCTGTGTGATTTGAAGTGTTATCCCCGCATCGAGCTCACAGACATTATTAAGCACTACCTTGTTGGCGGCACAGGCTTCGCAATAAGGCACGAGCTCGAAGCCTATAAATTGATGGACGCCCACAACTGTGTGACTAGCGGATAGGTCCAACAGCCACGAGCTAAGAGACCTCGGAGAAGGCCGCCGTGTCGTCGTCGGAAACGTAAGCGGTGCGCATGCTTCATATTCTCTTTGCTCAGTTCTCGGACGAATAATTTTTGTCACCGCGGTGGTGTCGCTTCACAAATTATTTTTGTGTGGAACGGCTTCACAGTTTGCAAGCGCACGTGGGGTGGTACAATTGGCATAGTTCGTTCCTGGTTGAGCCCAAGCGGCTTGCGATCATAACTGCTCTTTGTTGCAGGGTCCGACGGCGCGCGTTGGGCAGTTGCGCATCCAGAGATCACCTACGGTCTCGATTGATTACATCCTAGCTGATCGACGTTATATTGATAAAAGCGTTAATGTGCTTAGCTGACCATTCTCATAAGCAGTCAGCGACAGTGCACTCTCGTGAAAGCTTTGGTACACGAGATCGCACTGCGTCGCTGACAACACACCGCACCTACCTAAATGCGCTGCTTTAAAGGATGCCAATGTTCTGCTGACTAGGCACAGACGAGGTAGTTGCCATGAAAGCGAAAGTAATTTACAGAGCTGTCCAAGCGTGCAGTTATCAAACAGCTTTTAACTGCTGATGTGATTTGACTGCTTCGTAAGCAGCGACCGGGGACGTAGTGCGCGCGCTCATTTCCTGCTGCGTAAACGAAACTTCATAACACGTCGCGAAAACACAAGTTTTTCACCACAAAAGCGAAGCTCTATGATGTTGCATAGGTTCTGAACACTTACCGGACATGAAAGGTTTACCACACGCGCAATAGTGTGTGGCCGAGCCATCCAAACCTTTTCGATTGGTTTACAATCACTTCAGGTATGGAAAAAAACTGGCAGCATATCCACGGAGTGAATAATGGAGAGTGGGGCGAAGCATCCGTCCGTCCTTTCGTTCTTGCTTCCGTCCGTGCGTCCATCCGTCGGTGCAGCCATCCGCGAGTCCGTCCATGCATCTGTCTGTGTGTCCGTTCATCCATCGATTCAAGTACCACCATCTCGCATCTTTTCATCATATGTATGGATGGATGGATGTGGCTGTACCCTTTAGATCGGGCGGTGGCTAACGCCACCTAGTCGTAATATTTAGTGAACTAAGTACTAAATTTATCTTTTTTTTTCCTTTAAATAGTAAAGTTGAGGGCTGGTACTTTGCAGTGAAGGGTTTAATTTTCACTCGTGCCTTGACTTTAGCCACCAATCAGACAAGCTTTTTCAAGTTAATTCTAACCGCTTAAAGTTTATTTTGCCCTCCCTGTCCCTAAACCCCAGTGCTTTGAAAAACTCTGTGCCATCATCCTGAACTATAGGGTGGAGCCCTTTACAGAACATTATCAAGTGTTCGGCAGTTTCCTCCTCCTCTCCACATGCACTGCATACCGTGTCTACCCCTTCGTATTTGGCCCGATATGTCTTGGTTCGCAATACTCCCGTCCTGGCCTCAAACAGTAGAGAACTACCCCGGGTATTATCATAGATTCGTTCCTTGGCAATTTCCTGCTTAAAAGTTTGATAGATCTTTAGTGCAGACTTGTTAATCATGCCGTTCTCCACATATCAGTCTCCGTTGCCTTCACTTTCTTCATAACCGATAATTCTTTTTGGTGTGGCCCCCTGCTGTTTTCCAAGTATTTACCAGTCAATTTTCTGGTTCGCTTCCTCCATTTTGTATCGACATTCTTCATGTACAAGTAGCTGAATACCTTCCTAGCCTTACGCTCCTCCCCCATTTCTCTCAATCGCTTCACAAATTTTATCTTGCTGCTAGCTTCCCTGTCCTCAAATGATGTCCATCTAATATCACCTTGTACGCCCTGATTTGGTATATTCCCGTGAGCTCCTAAAGCAAGCCTACCTATTCCACATTGCTTAATTTCTAATCTTGCTTGAACTTCTGATCTCATGCACAAGACCGCATTGCCGAACATCAGACTAGGAACCATGACCCCTTTCTATATTCCTCTCACAACATCATACCTATTGTAATTCCACAGTGCCATATTTTTTAGGACTGCTGCATTCCTGTTACCTTTAGTCGTCACGTATATTTCGTGTTCCCTTAAGGCTGGTGCACACCGGCGACTAGTCGCGGTCGCGCGACCATTTGCGACTGGTCGCAAGCAGTCGCGAACGGTCGCAAGCGGTCGCAAAGCGACTGTTTGGGCCAGTCGCTTCCTGACCGATTTTTTGGTCGCGCGACTGCAGTCGCAAAACAGTTTAACCAATCAGCGAAGACCAGAAGTGACGTCAGTCTTTGTTTACATCCGGTCTCCTCGTATGTTTTTTTTTTTTCCTCGTTGCGCTTGCCTACTGCCGTGAGGTACGAACGACACGTACGTTCCTCCATGGATTCTTCCTCGCATCAGGCGAATGCCACCACGGCCAGCTTTGGGTAGTCGGCCGAGCTCCTCATCGACGCGACTAAAATGTACCCATATCTGTATGACAAGCGGCACCCTTCTTTTAAAGATCGGACAAAGAAGGACCGGGCTTGGGCAGATCGAAGCATGTTCGGCATGTCGAGTAAGTACCGAGATTTTTTGTTTGAGTAGCTATATAAGCAAAAACAGGTGTGTACTGCATGGCTGGCGTTGCCAATGAATGAACAATGAAAATATTGGTATTTGTACTGCAAGGTTACATGGTTAGTTTGCATGAGATGTATTGACTGTGATGTATGCGAGCGCAGTTGTGTGCATGTTTGTTCTCGCGACTTCCCGAGTTTAACATCGAAATCGACGTGACAGAACATTGTATAGCTGATCATAAAGCTCAGACGTTCGAAATACTGCTCGCAGTTGCCAACTCGCATGCGCATGCTCCTTGCTGTGTTTGTACGTCATCGTCTGGCGAACGGAATGTGTGCTTTTGTGAACGTGCGGCATTTGCAATGCATAATATCTAGTGCGCGGTGAGGGAGGGGGGGGGGGGGTTACGCTTTAATTTTGCCTATGCATTGCAGTTGTGCTGCTTTAAAAAAGAATGCAAAGTAGCTTCTGCTTTGAGCGCATTTTGTGCACTCCACAGAGGAGCGTGTAATTAAAACATGAAAAACAAGTTTAGCAGCACTCTCAAATGTCCGGATTTGGGAGTCAGACATGCTGTTGATGCCAAATGACATGCAATCGTAAAAAAAAAAAAGATATGGTAGTGTTCTAGTGGCTGGGCGAACACTGAAGGAAAGCACAGATGGGGGAATTTATTCCTCTGTAATGTGGCCCAAATCTAATCCTCATTTCTTCACAACTGCTCCTTTCCTCTCCTGTGTTTTTGTCTATTGGTGTCTTTATATTTTATTCCCCGAGGTTATATCTCTCCGCTTTCAACTGTGCCTCGTTTTTGTTTGTTTTCTTTGTTCCTATATTTTAAAGTCAATTTTTCATGTCTGCTTCTATGTGTTGGTATGTTTTCATGTTTTGGTCCCTTTATTTTCTTATATTTTCCTTCCTCTCGCTCTCTCTATGTTACACTTTGAGTCATATACTATGTTTGTTGCATTTCTTTCTCTCGAAAATTGTCATCTTGCTCTAGTTAGTTTCATTCTTCTTTTCAAGTTATTTAACATGTTTGCTTTTGTTTGACAACAATCGCTCCCGCTGTACACGACAGTTGCGCTTGGCCGATACCAATGGTATATACTCACCTGTGGAGTTTTGCGCAATGCAGTAATGCTTAGAAAGCTTCACTGTGAAGGTGATAAAGACATCATGTGCTGGTTCATGAAATAGACTTTTTGCAAGTGAACTTCAATTTCCGACAGTATAAACAGCCTCTTTGTTACAATAGCTTGGCAGACATGCTTACCTTCAAGAAACAATGTACATAACTCTTTGCGCAACTAATCATTGCGTCAGCTGTGATGTCGTGCACATGTAGGTGGACGGTCTAAAACACTAGGTGGGTAGCATTTCTGGAACCCTCGGCTGCAGGTTCCCTCAATCATGTCGTGGTTTTGCAATGTTTAAGCCCCTACCAATAGTTAAGTTTAGATGGCATGCGATTCATTTTGTTGCCCAATATTCAGATTTCTAGGGTGCTGCAGCCAAAATGATCTGGGCAAAGAAAATAAAGACCGCTCACAATTGTGCTGAAATAAAGTAGAAAATTTATCAGCGATACAGTATGCACAATACATTCTTACAGCAAGGGTTTTGTTTTCAGGTGTCCTTGTTGAGAAACGATTTAAGAACCTGCGTGATATCTTCAAAAGGAAACAACACGACATACGTGAAAAAACAAAGAAGTGGAGCCGGAGCAGCCGACATTCCAACAATAAAATGGCCCCATTTTGAGGCCATGCTTGAATTAATGGAAGGAGAGTCTGAGCCTGTGGCGTAAGTTCAATATTAGCTGACTATTGAGTGCTAAACAAAAAAAAAGTTGATTTAATTCACATGACTGTTATACATACACATAAATACTCACATATCAATACACATAAGTACACTGCACATAAACATAGAAGTCCCAAGAGGTAATTCACAGTGGGCATGCATGTGATCATGAACATGATGGCAATGGGCTGTTTTGATGTCGAATAACTGTGGCTACAGCTACGAAGAATAACTCAGTGCATCATTCTTTCTGGATACTGTGCAACATGAGTGCCATTGACCAAAGGTAATGAATAATGCTTACCGTCCATTGAACAGAAAATGAAATGTTTTGGTTAGCATAGCACAATGCATCAGCACAACGCAAAAAATATAGCATACCGTACAAGTGGCACGTGGACAGCTTCACAAAACAGAATATTGAAGACAGAACAGTAAGAATGAAAGAATTGAGTGTACTTCTGTGTCATTCTCGGCTCTCATTTACCAAAAAAAGAAAGGCTTAATACAAAATATAAAAATCTAAAGAGATCGCTTATTGCATGTGTCATGAGGCTGTTCATAGACAAGCATTGCACATATTCATTACAAGAATGCAGTATAAGTACTTATATTGTAGCAAAACAGTGAAAATGCTCTAAAGATGCACACAATAGCACTGACAGAATCACATATTGCATGTTCTCTTGCAGCAGCCACATCACAGCAGAAGAGGCTAACGAGAGGTGAGCATGCACAAAAATTTTCGGTACCATGTGCATGCACTTGAAGCTGTACATGCATGGACTTGAACCTAGAAACATTATTTTTTATTACTAGGTGATTGTACTTTGCAAAATTATCAAAAATACAAGCGTGCTTGAAAGGTGGTGTTCAGGTCGTTAGCTTGCCCAAACCACTGCATTTTTTTCAATACATTCAGCACTCAACACTGAACAGAAGCACACCGAAATACATGAGGGCACAGGCATTGTTTCTGTGTGAATGTGGTTATTTTACAACGTCAAATATTTCTGAAAAAGCAAAGTATTCATCAGCAACAGGCTGCAATTACTTTTACTTCATCTCCGTGACAATATCTCTTGTTCTCATTTAGATGTGCAGCCTACATAGCATTTTATTAACATAATAGGCACAATAAACTTCTGTATGCACACCTTCCATACAGCAGTGCTCAATCAAGAGGTAACGCAAGTGTAAAATAAACTTCGTGTTGAGCGAAATCATAATGGCATTTTAACTCCCAAAGAATGCCTAAAACTTTTCATGTACTAGCGGCATCATCAAATACATAGAAAGAAATTTTAATCACTGCAGATCACCGCCTCGGCCAAGACATGCAGCGGAACCGGAACGTACCCCTGATACGGCTGAGGAGACTCGTGTCGACACCTGCAGCAATGAGTAAAACCTTTATGAATCCACCTAAGTAATGACAAATGAAGGGCATGCATAGATAGCCAATCTATTAAATCTTAAAAACATGCATGTTCTAGCACATTTGAAGAATGTGCCTAATGTTTTTTTTTTTTTTTTTTTTACAGGTATCTTACAGGCCCTTGGTTAGGGCATTGAGTAAGGGGGGCTAACAAAGACATGTACAACAAGTAAAAGGGCGAAAGGTGCCAAAACGTAAGCTCGAGACATGAGTAACAAATAAACAAGAAATAAGTAAGTATAAATTGACATCATACATCGTTACCAAAAAACAAGAAAGATGCAGTTCATGGCACGCAGCAGTTAGGAAGTGTACAATACGTGTAAGTTAAATTGGCACAGATTGTGGTATAATACACTGGGAAAATCATGAAAGCGCTTACAGGAAGTGTGAACAGTTCGTCCTAAGCAAACAAAAATAAAGCACAAAAAATAAGGGGGCAATAAGCGCATTAGAAAAAAAACTTTTTGCACAGCATTATGAATGTCATATACATACAAGAACGAAGCTGTGAACATAAAATTATCAACCAAAATGTAAGACCAATTTGTTGCGGAAGGAAACAGGGTTAGTGTCAGATACCAAGTTATCGGGAAGATCATTCCACAACGTGATGGCACGAGGCAAAGCGGATGCGTTAAAAGAGTTGGTTTTGCCGTACATGCGCGAGAAACTAAGCCGGTTGTGTAGTCTAGTTGATAAATAGGAGGGTCGTTCAATTGGAAGTCTGGTCATTTTAGTGCTATTGACGTATTTATGAAAGAGGCATAAAAGAGAAATGTTGCGGCGAGTGGATAATAATTGAAATGAATAATCCATTTTAAGTTGTGTTACGCTGCAGGAGAAATTATAATTACGAGAAATGAATCGGACTGCCCTATTTTGAACTGCTACATGCACCAGATTTTGCTACATGCAATTTTTCACACCAGATTCTGCTACATGCAATTGCAACACTTTATAAGTTGTATAATAATACTGCCTCCTCCTGCGGTGATGCTTCAGCAACCACCTCAAGAGAGCAGCCACCATCAAAACGGTGTGTAAACAAAAAAAATTATTTTAGGTACTCCTGGCAAGAGATCACAACCACAACTTTTCGAAAAGGATCACTTTCTGTACATTTAAGTAATATGTATAATTCACTGCAGGTCACGCTCGTCAAGACGACAACGGACCTGCGAGGGCGCTAGGTGAGATATACCCCTAACTCTTAGAGGATAAACTTGCAGATTTTTTTCTAACAATCCTGCGCATGCTACAAAACACAAAACTTTATAAGGTTCACGCTCGGTCAAGTTGGTACACAGACATAGTAACAAAAAAGAGTGTGAGAACGACAAGGTAGAAACAGAAGAAACAGGACAGAGCACAGACTTTAAACTGATGTTTTTATTGTGGACACATTTATACTAAGGTAGACAGAACCCATGTAACTACCGTAATATTTAGACGTTAATATCAGAACATCAGCACCCTGTCCCAAAACACAAGTGTCCGTTTCAAAGATCAAAAGCCCATTTATTTCTCACAGAGAAGTAGACGCCCTATTGACACATTTATCTTTTAAGTGTGCTATTTAATTTGCTTCAGTTGCTCTATATTTTTTTCTTTCTTAGTGCCGAAAATCACAAACATTAGCTGAAAGTCAGTGCTCTGTATTGTTTCTTCTGTTTCTACTTTGTCGTTCTCACACTGTTTTTTTTGCTAAATGGTGCTTTATGAAGTAACAATGCAACCTTAAAGCATTTGCATGAATCGCAATTCACACTTGCTTTGCAGCAATGCAGGAGAGGGCACAAGCCATGAAGCTGTGGCGCAAGCGTGCATGGAGCACCTTGAACACATCAGAGCGAACAAGGGGGTCATCAAAAAAGATAACATTGGTTTCTTCGCTCTACGTACCGATGCACCCCTCAGAGAGCTACCAGTGCACATTGCACAAGATGTAATGCATGCAGTAGAACTTATGCTGTATGAAGCAGAGGCAAAATTGCATCAGAGCAGTGAAGCAAATTGAAGTGTTTATATATATAAAGTCAATGACACCCACCTTTTTTTATCTTGTGTTCACTTTTCTAGTCCTAACTTAAAGGGGTCATGACTGGTCACTCAACAATTGACGGTTGTCAGCAAAAAACAAAACTACAGAGTAAAATGTGCTAGTACACGTGTGAAAAGGGGCCTTAAGAGATTATTTTAGTCAAAAATATGCCGTAGAAGTGCTCGGCTCCTAAAACTCAACCTACCACAAGTGACCGCCATTTTGTCATGGCGTGCGCGACGTCACAAGCCGAAGGAGCAGTGGCAAATGGTATACGCATTGCACATTCACGAAATTATTTGCTGCAAGTACCAACGCTACATTGCTGACACAGTAGCCATGTTTCGACCCCTGGAAGTCATTTAGCTTTAGTGGAGAGTTCAACAATGCAAAAAAATTTGATTGCAAACGCAGCTGATGACAAAACACGACCGTCTGCCAGAATGCACACTGTGCAGCAGCTTGTCGAGCAAGCGGTTCGTGATGTCATGGATAGTGAGTGCATCAGTATTGCCCAACTGTCAGGCGACTAGCTCGTTTATAAAAATATGCGATTAAAAATTAGCAGCTTGACCAAATCGCTCGAATTTCACCAGCTTATATGTGAACATACAAGAATCAGCTCATGCAACACACATTATGGTTGAAAATTGGGTGTCATGACCCCTTTAAGGCCACTTATTTCTGTGATAATTATAGCGATAACCGTGCAATAACTCAAATATTTTAACATGAATTATTTATTTTTGTGTTTTCATGGTTATATTTGGACATGACAGTTTTCCCTGTAATGTATCTGTTGTGTCACGGGTGATTTTTTTCTTCTTTGTTTAGCTTAAGAAGATGCTATGTACATAAGTTCTGTAAGCAATAAAATGCATTTACAACCCACCTTCACCTTGTACGCCTCAAGTGCTGTTCACCACTTTGTCCTGCCAAGGCACCTGACCGTCTGTGACGAAGTAGTGCGCCAATTTATCTCGCACTTCCTTGGCATACCTACAACGCATAAGTGCCATGTGAAATTTCTGTCGGCACAGCCATGATGGAAGACACACACTGTAAAAGGAACATGCTGAGCTTGAAAATCTCACACATAGTTGCATTTCAGTGTCGTAGTCATGACGCTACATTGCCAAAGTGTTCCTCATTTTTATGTATTAATGAGTGCTACCTCTGCTGTCTATTTTCTACGACATCATCACAGCTTCTGATAGAATGCATATTTGCTGACTGACTTTAGAAATTTCGATATGTCAAGTTTCATGGCAGCCAAGGTCAGTAACTGCTCGCATTTGGACAAAACAATTGTACACTTTTGAGAGAACGATTGCCCTGTACAGTTAAACCAAATTAAGGCTGGTGCACACCGGCGACTAGGAGCGGTCGCGCGACCATTTGCAACTGGTCGCGAACGGTCGCACTGCTTGTGCACTCTGCAAGCTGTCGTATATGCAGTGAATATTTCTGTGCCTACACATTTTAGCGAATCATAAGCATGCATCAACCTTTTCATGGAAGAGCGTACGTGCTCATATCACTCAGGTTGAAGAAGGGCAACCTAAATGTACCTGTAGCAATTTCCTTAGCATGGATTTCTGAAAAGCTGTAAATTCAAGGAGAACCTATTTCGCAAAACGTACATCACTCAAGTCAATTGTTCAAATTGCTTTCACACAATGTGCTACCGTCCACAATACGTTTTGCCACTGCGCTACTGTCCACAGTGTATTGGGTCACTGTCATTTTAACAGAACATACGTATAATTGTAGCAAGGTGCAGGGGTTAAACACTGCCTATGTTTGTGAGAAATTTCGCATGTGTACTTGTGCAAACACACACCGTCGTGCATGCAGATACATAAAGGGTGGTTGGTTGAACCTCCTCCCTCCCCGATGCTGAAAAATATTTTTGGCATGAATACTCTTTGAGTGCCTCGAACAGCACATCAATTTGTCCTAACAATTTGTGCATAATTGTACTCGCAAAGCTTAGGATTGTGTTTCACTTATTTTATAACATCATTAATAATTGCATTTGAAAGTTTGAAAGTTTATTGAAATTGATTGGTTACAAATGGTGGTTACAATGGGGTTTACTACTAATACAGAGGGAGGTCCCAAAGTCAAGAGACTGTACAGGGGACCTCCCATAAGAGCTGAGTAAACAAAAGTACTTTAACGCAACAAAGATGTGTACACAAAGTAAACACTCAAAAAGAAGCAATTAACACTGAAACATCGTTGGATTATTTAAAAATTACAAAAGAAAGCAGAGATGATGAAATGATGAAATGACTATGCTGAATGCAGATAATTCCGAAGGTTGATTTTGAATGCGTGGAAATTGGAGATATTTTTAACATGGCATGGTAATGAGTTCCATAGTTGTGTGGCTGAAAAGTTAGTAGTGAACTTACCATAATTAGTTCTGGGTTTCGGTAATAAGAAGCTATTGCTGGATGCGAAACGTGTTGACAAAGAGTAAGGATACTGGCTTTTGATGATTATAGGGAACGGGAGCTTTCCGCTGATGGATTTGTGGATTAGTATTGCGAGGGAATATTTATGTAGTTTTCCCACCGACAGAATACCGTTAGAGGTGAGCAAAGGCAATGCTTCTGATGTGTAGGTGCTATGTGTCATGATGCGAATAGCCTGATTTTGAGTGTGTTGCAATGGAGATAAATGGACTGGATACGTGTTTCCCCATGATGATATGCAATAATTAATATACGTATGAATGAAAGCGTAATAAAGGGATATTAGTGTGTTCATATGGAAAAAATTGCGAACTTTAATTAATATCCTAATGCCATAAGCTGTCTTCTTTGTTAACGATGAAACATGCTCATCAAATTTTAGGTGCTTATCTAATGTGACTCCGAGAAACATGACACTGTCAGTAGGATAAAGTGTGTTTGAAGCGAAAGTTAAAGATGGTGAACCTGAATAAATCCTATGCTTAGAAGAAAAGATGACGAACTGAGATTTTGTAGCATTTATCTGTAGTTTATTTTGCCGGCACCAGGTAACTATGCTGTCCGCGTCGTGGTTAAGCTTGTAGATTAATGAATCAAGGTGGTTATCTGAACAGAAAATAGTAGTGTCGTCAGCGTAAAGAATACAGTCAGATGATTTTAGGCATTGTGAAAGATCATTGATGTATATTAAAAATAAGAGAGGTCCTAATATTGATCCCTGCGGTACCCCAATGTTACTTGTTTTAGGGTGTGAGTAAGTGTTAGATATAGACACAATATATTCTCTATCTTTTAAGTAGTTACGTAGTAATTTCAGTGGCGGGCCTGCTATTCCAATAGACTAATTTAGCAAATAGTATATTGTGAACAAGTGAATCGAATGCTTTAGACAAATCAATAAAGAGCGCCCCCGTCAAATTACCTGCCGGATTTTATCTGTCAAGTAAATTAATGCTAAATCAGTTGAGTATCCCTCCCTAAATCCAAATTGATTAGTTGATAAGACATGAAATTTTGAAAAATAGGAAGACAAGCGTGTTACTATTAGTTTTTCAACAACTTTGCTAAAGAATGAGAGTATAGCTATAGGTCGATAATTAGATGTGAGACGTTTATCTCCCTTCTTGAAAACAGGAATTATTTTGGCTTTCTTCAAGGAGCTTGGAAAAATTCCCGTGGTAAAAATAAGGTTTACTATGTGACAAAATGTTTCAGATATTAAACTTGCTATGAGTTTTATGAGAGAGGGGCGGAAATTATCAATACCGGGCCCGGTATTTTTTAGACCGTTCTATATAGTACCTGTGCATCAGGATAACAGAAAACGGGAACTGACCGGTCCACAATGTAATGTCATTGTGTAGCGCAGAATCCCATTTTCTGGGATTTTACAAGCGGAAACCACGTACTGATTACGCAATAAGCAACAACAGATGGTTTTGAAATATTCACCACCTGAGATTCTTAACGTACGTGCGCAACAAACGCGCCAACTTAAGTGCATTTCGCCTCCACCTAAAGGCGATCGATGCGGCCGTAATCAAACCCGTCACCTACGCGTAAACTGCCGGCCGCCGTAACGACTGCATCATCGAGCCCGCATACGTCATAAATGCAATTCGTTCTATCCGCCCAAGCAAAACTTCCTTACGAGCGAAGCGCAGCCGCAAGCCACAGCATATTAATCTTCAAACCACACGCTCTTACCTAATGGTCATGGCCAGGCAGTCGTGCGCCGAAATTGTAAGCCGGTGGTTTGTGTCCTGCTTGGATATTGCGGGGCGCAGCAGTTCGAGCACAGCATCGAACGTTCGTGGCGGCATCCGCATGAAGCTAACTACCAAAAATAGAATGAGATAACATGTTATGCACTATCTTATAAGCACGTAAAACAACCATAAACTTACTCTCGGAAATTCTCCTCGTCGTGCGAGCGCAAGAGCAGACGCCCTGTGTGGACGGCCACTTCTCGCGAGCGAAGGGACGGTCTCACCCACCATCGCCTTGCTTGCTTTGAAGGCTTTTGTGCTGACACGTTGGCTGAGCACATCAGCACCGCCACAACCTCTTCTTCATCACTCGACTCGAAGTCTATGATGCTGCCGGGAGAACGCTACGCAAACACAGCCGTCAAAAACAAACGCATCGCGCTCAGCGGGCTCCGTATCTGATCAGCTGATCGTCGCCGGTCGCCCAAGTTCTCGTTGATAACGAGATCTGTACGTGACTCTCCGGGTTTGCGACTTCCGGTCGCTCGCATGAATCCTTGCCGGTGTGAACGTCGCTCGCAGTTTGGTCGCCAGTCGCAAATGGTCGCGCGACCGCGGCTAGTCGCCGGTGTGCACCAACCTTTAGGTACTCGGTCCCATTGCTTATCCATACGTTCAGATATTTGTATTTATCTGTTATCTCTAGCGTGACCTCCTGTATTCTTAGCTCACTACCTTCATTATCATTAAAAATCATGACTGCTGATTTTTCCTTACTGAATCTGAAATCTAATCTATCTTCCTCATTACCGCAGCTGTCCATCAATCTCTGCAAATCTTCCTTGTTGTCGGCCATTAGCGCTATTTCATCTGCGTACATCAATGCTGGTAGTGCCTGTTCAATGAGCTTTTCTTGTTTGACGAAAGAGAGGTTGAAGCCCAGTTCACTTCCCTCTAATTTGGCCTCTAATCCTTGTAGGTACATCATGAATAATAAGGGTGACAGGGGACACCTATGTCTAAGCCCCCGTTTCACCTCTGTGGGCTTGGATACCTGTTTTTCCCACTTTATAACTACCAGTTACTTTTATAGATTTCCTTCAAAAGATTAGTGACTGCATCTTCCACACCTAGTGTGTCCAGTATTCCCCACAAGTCCTCTAGAACTTCACTATCGTACGCTCCCTTGACATCCAAAAATGCTAGCCACAGGGGCCCGAGTTCCTTTCCTGCTATTTCGATGCACTGCGTCAGTGAGAACAGATTGTCTTACAACTTCCTGTGTTTCTGAAACCCATTCTGCAGTTCCCCCAGCACCCCCTCATCCTCTATCCATGCCTGCAGTCTTTCCTTTATAATCTGCATCGCGAGCCTGTAGATTACTGATGTCACTTATGGTGACCCCCGCTCTTACTGCAGCGGACGATCACCGCGGGTTCACGCTTAGCGAGCCACAGGGCCGCTACTCCGTTTACTCGCGTGTAGCGCACCGCTCCGCGCGCGCTCAACTGATAAGGCGTTTAGCGCGGCGCGGCAAATAGACAGTGTTCTAATGTAAAAGTACACAACACTTTATTGCCTCTGGCGGCACCCCGAACAACAGTACAACGTCCGCTCCCGGGACGCGGGTAGCAAAGGCACCCGCACGCGGACGTTCACAATAAGGGGAAAACCGCGAGCACGTCGCAGCTGGCAATGGCG